CGCCAACAGTGCCTCTGCTGCTGCTGCTGCTGCTGCTGCTGCTGCTACGGCTGCTGCTACGGCTGCTGCGGCTGCTGCTACGGCTGCTGCGGCTGTTGCTGCTGGAGCTGGAGCTGCTGCTGCTTTGTCCCAGGCCAGCAAAGATCCTGCAGAGCGCGCAGCTTCTGCATACAGCTGAAGCAGCAGTAATCAGAGGGGGTCAGGTGGCCGGTTGCTGTTGCTGCTGCTGCTGCTGCTGCTGCTGCTGCTGCTGGAGTGCTGACCAGTGGTCCTCTATATATGCCCGCGCCCCCCACGGGTGGCTCTGTGCATGCGCGAGGCAAAGAATTCTAGAGAAGTGCAGCAAATTAAGTTTGCTGCTCAAACTGCAGCTGCTGCTGCTGTTGTTGCTGCTGCTGTTGCTGCTGCTGCTGCTGCTGGGAAGCCTTTGCTGCAGGGCCTATGCGCAATGTGTCTGCACGAGGCAGCAGGGGAATTGACGTGTACGGACACCACAGCAGCAGCGCCAACAGCTCTTGCTGCAGCAGCTGCTGGCTCTGTGTGCTCACACCGGTTTGCTGCTGCTGTTGCAGCTGCAGCTAGTGCTGCTGCTGCTGCTGCTGCTGCTGCTGCTGGGACCCAAAAATGAATTTGAAAAGGCAGTGGCAGTAAGCCCAAAGTCCCGGATATCTTCTAAAAGATTTCTTCTGCTGCTCTCCCTGGGGCCTCCGGGGGCTCCAAGTTCTGCTGCTGCTGCAGCGAGGCAGGCGGGGGGCCCCCCGGACTCCAGCAGCAGCAGCAAGTTAGCTGCGGCTTTCAGTTATAACTTTCTTCTTCTTTGATAAATGAAAATAAAAAATTCAATTAAATTTATTTACAAACCGGAGGCGAGGACAACCCCAGCCAGCTGTACATACACCCCAACTCCCGTACTAATCCCCAGACTCGAGGGGCCCCTGGGGGCCCCAGGGGCCCCCAGGGGGACCCCGAAGGGCCCTTTAAAATCCTAAAGGGACCCTGGGGGCCCCGGGGGCCCCACAGGGGCCCCACGGGGGGCCCCGAGGACTTCTTCGAGGGCCAGTGTGAGCGTCTTTGCCCTTTAGTTATATCTGTGATGGTTGTGCCATCTACTGCTGCTGCAGCTGCTGCTGCTGCTGCACTACCAACTGCTGCTGCTGCGGCTCTGCCAAGTGCTGCCGCTGCTGCTTTACCAACTGGCGCTGCTGCTGCACTACCAACTGCTGCTGGTGTTGCTGGAGCACCACCAGCCG